CGTCCTCTGCTAAGGAGCTGTTGGAAGAAGAGAGGAGACCCCACTTCTCACTGACCACTAGCATCCAGGCCTCTGAAGGCCTGGAGAGACCCCCACCCACCCATTCCCCCCACCAAGATCATGGAGGGAGCGACACTTGAATGTAGGACGGGGAGGGAGCCCTGTCCCTGCCCCATTGGCTGGACCTTGCTCTGCCCTCACCGACCATGGGTAGGGGGCCTAGAAGTGGGGTTCTTGGCTGTCCTTGGCTTTCAGAGCCAACTTAGCTCTGCCTCCTCCCCCCATGGACTAAGTCCTGAGGCCCATTCTAGAAGTTGAGGCTGGTTCCAGGAAATCTCTCCTGACCCCTGCCTTTTGGCAGTCCCCATTTTCCAGTCCCTACCCACTTCCATGGTACTGTAGCCGGGGAGCTCTCTCCCCCTCCTGTGCCTTCTTTGTATATAGGCTTCTCACGGCGACCAATAAACAGCTCCTGGTTTGTACGCTCTGCATTGCCCTCCCTTCACCATGCCCCCCACCCTCCCGTCCTAACCCCTGTCCAGTCTGGTGATGTCAAACAGCTGACCTCTAGGTGGAAAAAGGCAGGGGCAGGGATCTGAGAGGCTGGCGGGGTGAAGATGGATGCGGGACACACCAGTCCCTGCTCTCAGGGACATCCTGATCTAAAGGATGGTCATGGACATCTAGCTGAGATCCAGAACATAAAATCTGGGAAAACACCTGAGTAGACTGGATAGAATCCAAAATGGCTTCTTGGTGGACAGTGTGCTGGCCCTGGGGAGGGAGGTGGGAGGTGGAGGTGGTGGCGTGCTAGGTCCAGAAGAGGCAGAAAGCTACTTGGCTGTAGAAGCAGGTGATCCTGGATAATGGTGGAGGGAGGTTGGGTGCCGGGGTGGAGAGCCAAGAGCCCTCATCCAGTGGCTGGATTCAAATAAGAGCCTGCTTTTCTGCCTCAAGCCCACCCCTAGACACCATGATAAGTAGATCAGAGGGTGAACCAGTGACTCAAGACTAGAAAGACTGGAAGGTCATGGTATCCGCCAGTGTCTGGGCAGGAGTACCTGGCGTTCTAGTCTTACAGCCTTTCCTCCAAGGGTGCTTCAGTCCCGAGCCCCCATAGCCCACAGCATTGGATCAAGCCCTCTGCTGCCCAAGGTCACTCTTCCCCACAGGCGGGGGAGAACAGAGCAGGGCTGTGTTCCCCGTGACTTCTTTGTCCTAAATTGTGGCATAGGTCCTTCTGTCAGTTGTCCTCAAAGCTATGACCTTTGGAAGACTTCACTGAAGGCTGAAAATTACTACTCAGAGAAGCCTAGCAGCAGATCCTCAATTTTAGCTGCTCCGAGAGCCCACAGACCCAGGCTATCCTCCCAGGAGCCCCTCCCAATGTCTGCCTCAGTGTCCCCCAACTTGCCTCCCTGCCCTCTGCTGCCCCCACCAGAGCCCACACCTCCCACCCCTCACTTTCCGTGCTGGGCCTGCCCTTTCCAGGGTGAATTAACAGCAGAAGGTCCAGTTCCTCCAGAAAAGCCCCAGCCCTTACCCAGAGGTCTCGGATCTAGAAACCAGAACCCCCAAGGTCCTTTTCCAAAACCTGGGTTATTCACTCGGTCAGGAGTAATACTACACGTGGGGTTGGCAAAGCCCAGCTCAGGCTGAGCAGAGCTCAGGCCCACTCAGTCCTGTCCTTTGCGGACACTAACTGCTTAAGAAAAAGGTAGCATCTAGGGATCTACACATCCCTCTGACCAGTTCCACAGGCTCAGCCCCAAGGCGTGTGTGTGTGACACTGTTTATGCTTGGATGAGAACACAGTCCTCTCTCTCTCTCTCTCTCTCTCACACACACACACACACACACACACCCTGCAGTATAAATAGTCATTTTCAGGACTGGTGCTATACTTTTATAAAAGAAACATAATGGCAGGGGCACCTGGGTGGTTCAGTCGGCTAAGTATCTGCCTCTGGCTCAGGTCATGATCCCAGCGTCCTGGGTTCAAACCCCTTGACAGGCTCTCTGCTAAGCAGGGAGTCTGTTTCTCTTTCTCCCTCTGCCGTTCCCCCTGCTTGTGTTCTCTTGTGCTCTCTGTCAAACAAATTTTTTAAAAATCTTGCAAGATTTTATTTAAAAAAAAAAAAAAAAAAAGGTAGAGAAGCAGCAATGCCCGCTTTATACAAAAAGGTCCTCGATAATGTCAAGCTTCTGGAGCTCCTTGGAGCTGTAGCACCTCCAAACTGTTCCCAAAGAGGGTCTTGGCTTTTGTGTCACTAAAAGGACCCATAAGGTGATTCTCCCCCTCTGGACACAGGTCTGGGTTGCACTTCCTCGTTCCCCTCCTGGTTGGATAAGATCATGTGACTAATTCTGGCCAAGCAGTTGTGAGCAGGGACATGGCTCAATTCTGGGCTGAGACCATTAAATGTTGGATGAGAGTCCCCACAGTTCTGCTTTCCTGATTCAGCTGCTGTAGAAGCCTGCCTTGAGATAAAATGTCTATCAGTCTGAGTTCCTGAGAATCTCCCTCCCACCACCAACCTGCCTTGTACATGTAATAGGAAATTTGGGCATGGTGGGATGGGGAGGAGCTGAACCTCAGCATCATCTAACTTAGCTTGACTGAGCCATGCCACTCCCATTATCACCCTGAGACAATCTCTGCAGAAGGAATTTTGCTCCAAGCACAGAGGCCACAATATAGAATTCCCCACTAAAGAGAGGATCGTGGGCAATATCCTCTCCTATACCTAATGTCAGAGTTCACAGCCTTTTCCTCATTATTTACATTTTTTAAAAGACTTATTTATTTATTTACTTATTTGAGAGAGAGCAGGGAGGGGGCAGAGGGATAAGAGAGACTCCTCAAGCAGATTCCCTACTAAGCCTGGCACAGGGTTCAGTCTCATGATCTTGAGATCATGACCTGAGCCCAAAACCAAGAGTCTGATACTCAACTGACTGAGCCACCCAGGCACCCCTCCTTACTTAAATTTTGACAATACTAATAGCTGTTAATGATTAATTATTTATTACGTTTATGTGCGAGGCACAGGGCTGGGTTTTTGTTTGTTTGTTTTTTTTAATCTAAGTACCTATATGCAACCTGAACACGGCACCCTCCAACATCATGAGTGATTTAATCTAGCTGGAAGGATGTTTGGTGGTCCTCCCTGATGACTCTGTGGCATGTCTGCCTGGTGGTCCCCACTCTTTCTTCCTTTTTTATGTGCCTTGTGCTGTGCCCGGTGCTGGAGATAGAGCAGTGAATTATACAGACACAGCCCTGCTCTCCTGGAACTCAAAGTCTAGTGGAGGAAACAGATGAGTCAGCAGAGGATTTCTACTCAGTCTGATAGGAGCCAAATGGTGCTAAGGTTGGGCAGGTCTAAAGAGCCCTTAGAGGTAGCCCAGAACCCAGCCTGGTAGGGCCGGAGACTTGAAGAATGGATAGGTGGCAAGAAGAACGAATGATCCCAATAGAAGAGACAGCATTTGCAAGGGCTTGGAAACTGGAGGCTGGTTCAAGGCGGTAGATAAGTATGACTGGGAGTTGAGCAGGGGAGTGTGGAGGGAGGAGGCTGGAGAGTTAAGCCAAAGCAAATCATGCAGGAGCTGGAAAGGCACCAGTAAGAAGCAAGAGAGCCACTGAAAGTCTGTGAGCAAGGGAAGTAACAAGTTCAGATTTGCTTTTGAGAATGATCCCTGAGCCTGTTTCCTCATCAATATGATGGGGATAATAATAGCACCAGAGAGCCGTCTGGAGAATTAAAGGAGATAATGATGCAGACAGTACCTGGCACATAGGTTATTATTCATTCAGGCTTCCCAATGGAAAGGAAGCCTGGCGCATAGCTCCTTGCTGACCGTAATCACATTCTGTTACACAGTAACTACTTATTTACAGTTACCTCCCAAACTAAGAAATGAAATGATCCGGGGAGAGGACTACCTCCTTATCCTTTCAGTGTTTCCTGTCCCCAAGACAACGCCCAGCACATATTGAGCACTCGGTCAGGGGTGCCCAGGGACTGAACAGTGAAAGAGCGAAAACATCAAAGGGACAAGACGGGACGGTGGCGGAAGAGGTTTGGAAGGGGGGTCAGGGCGTACCGCGTTTCACCACCAGAGCGCGCGCTCTGTTCCGCCGAGAGCTCTGGGCTGCTGGGGAAGGGCGGGCATCCTGGCACCCAGATCACCTGCCAGGACCTTTCTCTAAGGCAGCCCAATGCGAAGATCGTCGCTTTCTCAGGTCAAATGAGTAGCGAATAATCGAAGTGTACTGAAAACTGCACTCGCAGCGCCGATGTTAAGGGCTGCCTCCATCACCGTCAGTCCTTAGGGTTTTGACTCCGGCCGTCTTTTCCCGAGCCGCTTGGATCTTTGTGGAAGGTGGGGGGGGCGGGCACGTCTGTATGAGGGATTAGCATGGGCTTGCATCCTGATCCCGAAGTTTGCAAACTTTCCCAGTCCGAGTCACTGTCATCCGGACTGGGAACCCAGCAGATCGCCCCCCTCAAGGAGCGCAAGTGGGGGTCAGGACAAGTGAAACAGGTCCCTTTGAGAGGGAAGCTATCCGGACAATTTCAGGGAAGGCGAGAGAAGGAGATCTGGGAGGGCGCGGGAGAGGAAGAAGTAAAAGGGAGGAGGAATGACGAAACCCTGGTGAGGCAGGGGTTAAGCCGGACTTGGCCCGGAGGAGGAAAGGGCGGAGCCAATGCTCGGGAGGCGGGCTCTCGCCGCGGCCTCGCGAAAACAACAGGCCTCCCGGGGCAAGGACGGGGTTAAGGGGGCGGGTCCAGGGGGAAGCCACGTGCCGAAGCGAGAGACGATTGGCTCTGCCGGCGTTGTTTGTGAGCGGCCATTGGCGACGTCGGAGCACCGCGACGAGCCGATTGGCCGGGGTTTGGAGGACTGCCCGCCGGGGGGCGGGGAGGAGGCTGCAGGTCCCAGTCGCTGGGCCGGGCTGGGCCGGGCTGGGCCGAGCTGGGCCGAGCTGGGCCGAGCTGGGCCGAGCTGAGCGCTGGCGCTGCCCGCGGGGGGACCGGAGGCCGAGCCCAAGCTGCGGCCGCCACTGCCGCCGCCGCCGCCGCCACCATGCGCTGGGTCCGCGCTCTGCTGAAGAATGCGTCGCTGGCAGGGGCGCCCAAGTACATCGAACACTTCAGCAAGTTCTCCCCGTCCCCGCTGTCCATAAAGCAGTTTCTGGACTTTGGTACGGAGTGGGTGGGGTGGGGGCGGCTGGCCGTGGGGGCCCGCGGAGCTCGGGGGGCGGTGAGGGAGGGGGCCCTGGCCTTGAAAATTAACGCGGAGAAGAGAGGTCCTGCGTGACAGGGAAAGGTTGCTGGGGTACAGGCAGGGAAGAGTTAAGGCGGTGGGGGGGAGGAGGGGCAGGGACTGGCCCTGAAAGGGTTAAGGTATCCTGGGGAAAAGCTCTATACTGGGCTGTCAGTGGGAAGTGGGGGCGCTGAGAAGGAGGGGTCTAAGTATCTCCCTGGGCTTTGTGAAAGGTCTTGTCCAGTAAGGCACAGCAAGGAGGTGATGTTAGGGCAGGAAGGGAGTGGGGTATATCCAGACAGAAAGGGTTAATAGTGGTTGTCCTAGTGACTCAGAGTGTTGGAGAAGAAATGGGGCAGGGATGCTGGTGGGAGTAACAAACAAGGCGGGATTAGGAGGTGCAGACAGCTGGAAGGAGACCTGGGCTGGGGTGGGCACCCTGGGGCAGGTGGGGACCCAGCTCTATAAGAAAAATGTCAACAGGAGGGAGGTGGTTGATGAGCACACCCCGACCCACTGAAGAAACCCCAGCTGGCCCAGTAGGCAAGGACACTTGAAGAGCAAATCTGTTTGGGCCTGGCTTCCTGTCCCCAACCCGGTGGAGGCCTGGAGCACCATGAAGTGGAGTCAGTCAGAAGGCTTGCAGCCTTGGCAGCCCCTAGGTTCCTGGGCCAGCTCACCCACCAGCAACGCCCTGGGGTTGCCTCTGGAGCAGAAGCAAGGCTGTGCCACTGTGGCCACTGAAACAGGCATTGTGTGGGCCCTGTCCCCTGTCTGTCTACACGGCATTTCCCTGGTGCCAGCTGGGGATTAGGACAGGGTGCCCAGGTCTCTCCGGAGTTGAAGAGACAGTGCCTGGCTCAAGTTACAGCTGCGTCACTGAGGGGAGAGGGTGGGGAGGAGGCAACCAGGACACAGGGCCCCTGTTCTCCAGGACTTGTCTGCCTGTCCCCCTGCCCTGTTTGAGCTCCCCCCATGTAGAAAAGCCCCCTGGGCCCGTTGTCAGCCACCAGTAGCTGTCCAGTCCAAACTGGACCCCAATTATAGAAATGGGCTGGGTGGGGCTCACAGTAGAGTTTGGTCCACTTGTAGTGCAGTGGGGGAAACAGATCTTCAGAAGGGTAGTCACATGCCCTAGGTGGCAGACTTGGAAGCAGAACTTAGACTAGCATCTAGCTCTTCTGACTCTAGGCCATGGCCTTGGTCTACCACTCCCGTCTTCATCTTGAAGCCAGACGAAGGACCAAGACATTTGGGCTCCCATCCTTGGGCCCTGTGTGCCTCCCATGTGGGCATTAATGCAGGGACAGCTCTACAGTAGTCAACAAGACCAGCCTGGGTGAAGACAGACTGGGCCAGAAAGAATGCTGGGGCCCCACAGATGCCATGGGCCAGGCACAGTGCCCCTCAGCCAGGCCCAGACCTGGGAAGGCATGGTTTTCCCAGGTTCCTTTGCCCACTGATCCACCCCTCTCTACCCCTTCCACCTCTCAAAGCGAGTGTCTGCTAGGAGAGGCAGAAAGTGAAGAAGTGAGGTAACTGAGGCCAGAGCTGGCTCCAAATGGGCCTGGGAGTGGCACTGTCCCCTGTGGTTGAAGGCAAGCAGGCTTGGGGTGGGGGGACACAAGCTTAGAGAGGGTTGGGCAGGGTGGCGTGGCAGTGGGCGCACTGCAGGAGATCAAGAGAGCTGCTCTGCTCTGTGCCCTTGGTCACTTCTCTGAACCCTCAGGAAATGAAGGATTTAATCGACCTGACCCCTGAGATGACCTCTGGCTCCCGTGGTTTGCAGCTCTGTGGGCTCACCTCTCTCTCTCTCCCCCTCAGGGTCCAGCAATGCCTGTGAGAAAACCTCATTCACCTTCCTCAGGCAGGAGCTGCCTGTGCGCCTGGCCAACATCATGAAAGAGATCAACCTGCTTCCTGACCGAGTGCTGAGCACACCCTCGGTGCGGCTGGTCCAGAGCTGGTGAGACCCCCAGCCAGGTCCCTGTACTTCCCACTTTGCTGCCAGATGCCCCTGGGCTCCCAGAGTCTCTGTGCTCTCAGCAGCCTTGAGGGGGGTGGGGACAGAGGGGAAGCACAGGGGCTCCAAGAGGCTGGAGAGTTGCCCCAAGGTCAAGTGGAATACTAGGCCAGAGCAGGGAGTGAGCTAAAGCTCCTAGCCTCCATGTTTACCAGCCCTATGCTTACCACTCTTCCTTTCTCCAGAAACCCAGGGTCCACCCCGGGAATTGTTTTCACAGCCAAAACCCAAACCATGCCAGTATCAGCGTTTACCACCAGCTCTGGTTCTGAACACCCAGCACCTATTAGGTCCTATTTACCTGGGGACAGGCCACATTATAGGGAAACAGAAACAGGAAGAAACAAATTTTCAAATTATATAATCCAAGCTACAAGTCAGACTGTTTTGGATGTTGAGAAACCCTCAGACGCAGGGATGGCATCGTACCCAGCCCCGAGAACTTTGGAGGGGCAAAGACCAAAAGTTGCTCCGGTAGCAGAAGGAAATCCTCAGTAAAGCTTCCTCTAGAAATCTTTCCCAGGTTAAGTAATTGGATGACAGACACCAACGGCTGGTCACATGCGGAACAAACAAGAGTTTGCTGTGTGACTGGCATGCCGATGGCGAATCCTGGTTGGTCTTTGGTGGCACCTGTGCCAAAACGCTTTGCCGGTTCTCCTGGCTGTGGTGCAGCGTGGCTGTGGTCCCCTGTTGGATTCGGGAGCAGGGGTCCGCACCTGCTGCGAGCCCAGAGCCATGTCGGAGGCAGGAAAGCAGCATCAGGTGCCCTCCAGGAGCTAAGGAGATTGTAGATGGTGGTGGGAGCAGGGAGCTGACAAAGAGTTACTTTTTTTTTTTTTAATTTTTTTTTTAAAATTTTATTTATTTATTTGACAGACAGAGATCACAAGTAGGCAGAGAGGCAGACACAGAGAGAGAGGAGGAAGCAGGCTCCCTGCTGAGCAGAGAGCCCGACGCGGGGCTCGATCTCAGGACCCTGAGATCACGACCTGAGCCGAAGGCAGAGGCTTTAACCCACTGAGCCACCCAGGCGCCCCGACAAAGAGTTACTTTTACTGAAGAACGAAAATGTTATTTAAAAAGTCACATGGGTTGGGGCTTCTTTCCTCCTCATGGTGAAAGTGTAACATGTCCGCCTGGACATTTGGAAGACACGGGAAAATAGAAGAGAGTGCCTGCCACTACCCTCCACGCCATAACCGAACACTAGTCGGGTTTCAGAAGGTCCTAGTGGTGTGCTTCTAGCATCGTTTCTATGTGTGGATGTACGCAGAGGCAGGACTTACTCTGGTTGAATGAGATTCGGGAAGGACGGTGGCGGTGCACAAGGCCAGGCTCCTAGCAGGCGCACACCGGGTGTCAGGTGAAGCAGAGAGTTGTGGGGACATTGAAGTGGACGCACAGAGGAGGTGACATGTCACCAGGCCTTCCAGGGGACCGGAGTGAGCCTAGACCTAGAAAGACGGGAAGGGCATTCCAGGCCTCAGAGCTGCCTGTGCCCGGGCGTGGAGGCAGGCAGGGGCCCAGCGAGGGCCTCTGGGACCTGACTCTGTGCCAGCAGCACTGTTTGCTGCAAGCTGTGAAGGGGGACAGGGACAGAGGGCAGGGGCTGGCATTCCTATAGCCCAACCAGGTCACCCCTCGCTGGGCCCTGGCCCTCGGAGGTGTGGGACATCTGAGCCAAGCAGCATCTCCCAGCGCGGGGTGGTGGGGAAGTCATGGGGTGGAGACAGAAGGTCCATCTGTTTGCTCGCTCATCCTCCAGCTCTGCCCGGTTCACTGGCCTGGGTGCCTCTCCGGCGAGCCCCTGACGCCAGGACAGGCCCTTTCGCGCCCCTCCCTGGACGCGGTGTTCCTAGGAGAGCTGGGGGATGTGTGTCGGGATGTGGGGAAGCAGGGAGCTGCTGAACTGCCCGTGACTCCCCCAGGAGAGGCCATTTCTGAAAACCAGTTACGCATGTGTGGGCTGGGCCTGGCCGTTCTTCCCTTGAAGCTTCTAAGTCATGCCCAGCAACAGCAGGACAGAGCGAAGTTAGACAAGAGAGAGCACTTCCCAGTGGTTGATTCAGCTGAGAACAGGCCGTGGGATTGCTAGAATGTCCTGACGCACGGACCAGAGCCTGCTGAGATTGTTTCCGGGGAATGGGCCTCATTGGCTGCAGCGAGAAAGCCTGAGGTCCGAGGGGAGGAGGGACTTTGTGCTGGGGACGAGGTGGCCGCCTGTGAGAGAGGGCAGACCCTCTCTAGGAGAACCTGCTGCCGGCTCGAATGCAGAAGTGGTGGCAGTGGGCAGGTTGGCACGAGAGGAGGGGGACAGCATACCAAGGAGCCTGGCTAGAGGGCCTCTGCCCTCAGAGGCTGACAGGTAAGGAGTGAATGCTCCCTTTGGAAAATAGAAAAGTCCGGTATAAATGCTGTTCGTAGTGGAAGTGATACGAAGTGGGGAGGCTGATGGAGTTATTACTCAGCTGCAGAGAGGCTCTAGGCAAGAGTCACTGAGGACGAGTTGAGCATTCCTGCTTTTAAATAAACCTGGTGAATTGTTTCAACCAGACAGACCTGGTGCAGAGGGAGCCCATTTTGGAGGTGCCTGGAAGGCAGTAGGAAGCCATGGCCGTTGGCCTCGGTGTCAGCACACTCGCTTTGGAGGCGTGGCTTCGCTGCTTGCTGGACCCTTAATCCTTGGCAGAGCCCCGGCCTCCCTGAGCCTCGGCTTCCTCACCTGTAAAATGGGGATCTGCTCTGTTTCTAAGGGCGGACGCTACCGCTGGATGCAAAAGGGTGCAGAACTCTGTCAACACAAGCCGTGTCCCCGAGCTTCGCCACAGATGTGAGTGTGGCCAAGGTTCTCTGGGACAATGTGGTCCTCACAGCGATGGTGATGATGAAAGCAAACAGACCTGGAGGGCCTGCCATGCGTCAGGAACTGTTCTAGGCATGTCCACACGTTCCTTCAGTTAGCCTTCCTGATAGCCTTCTGCGGGAGGGCTTGTCGTTTCTCCCATTTCGTAGATGAGCAGACTGAGGTTCAGAGAGCTTAGGACGTGTGTGCGAGATCACTCAGGCAGCAGGTGGGAGAGCTGAGACTCCCACCTAAGGCTGTGTGACCCGGCGGCCGCACTTGTGAGCAGAGAGGTCGAGTGCTGGGTTCTGGGGCAGTGACCTGGATCAGAGATCACCAAACTCCCCGAGCGAGGCCTCGGGAGGGTAGGGTTCACCTTACTGGAATGCGCTTGCTGGCTTGGGATGTGAGAGCACAGAGCGGGCGAGAAAGGCCGTCTCCGGAGGGCGTGGAGCTGGTAGGAGCATGCTTCCAGAAAGTGGGGGGTCAAGTGAGAGTCGCAGGGTAGAATCAGATGACAGTGAGTCTCCTGTCCCAGAGGTCTATAGCAGGGGCTGTAGGGAAAGGGGCTGGAGGCAGTGTGGCCAGCAGCCTCTCGTGATCTCTCCCGCCAGTGGGCAAACCCAGCCTGTGGGAGACCTGCACCCCCACCCTGTGGGAACCACAGCCCTTGAGAAGAACCAGGGCCATGGCGGTGGCCCCAGGGGCCGGTGCCGCACCAGGCATGGAGTGGGGGCTGGAGTCTCACCCTCGCTGAACCCCTTGGCCTCTCTTTCATAACCGGAGTCGAGACTGAGGATGTCAGAGTGGTACTGCTGTGAACCCCATTTTCGAGCCAGGGACTGGAGCGGCTCCGTGGCCTCTGTGGGGCACAGCCGGCCACGGGACCCAAGTATGCCTGGCTCAGGGCCTGCACTCAGCTCCCCCGCAGAAAGCAGCTTCCAGACACAGGACAGGTCTGCCACCGCCCCCTCCTCACATGGCCACTGCCTTGTTCACGCTCCTGATCTGCCGCGGCTGTGGGCGCTAGTGCATGGTGTGCACACAAACACACACACGCTTAATCATGCTGCCGGTCACATGCCCCCTCCACCTCCCCACACAGTCCACCCCCTGCCTCCCAAATCCAGGACTCTGGGCAGGCTAGAAAGCCCCAGAAGGCAGGAGGCCTGGGCGGCCTGATTTGGGCCTGAGGTGGCCAGGCCCAGGCCTTTCCTGGGGCAGCTACATTGGGTCCCCACTGCCTGCTGGGCCTGCTCTGTCCGGCCGAGGGGGGAGGTCAGCACCACATCTGTCATTACTCCAGGCTTCAGGACTCCTAGGTCCAAGCCCTGTTCTTTCCCTTCAGGTCAGCGAGGTGGGCAGTCCAGCAGCCAGTGCTCCTCCTCAGTGTCTCCCCCTTTAGGACCAGATCTTGCCTGAGAGTGACATCTGGGGTGCCAGGCCTCGGTGGGCTCCAGGCCAGGGCCAGCATCCTCTGGGAAGATCCTTCCCATCTTGTTGTCTCCCCGCCAAGAGCCCACGTGGAACTACTCCCCAGAAGGACTGGCCCTTCGAGGGAGGCAGGCAGGGGTCCTCACTGTGCTTCATCATCCAGGAGACAGAGGCCCGAGGCTGGCAGCCTTCCCCCTGCCGTGCTGGCGGGCACTGCCCATTGTCCATCCATCCTGCTGCCCTTTGCTCTACTTCCTGGCCGTGTGACCAGGCCCCGCTTCTGTTCTCTAGGGCCCGTTAGGCAGCCTCAGAGGGGTGGTGCCGACAGCTAGCCCGCCGTCCCCACCCCTGCACCTCCCGGCCCAGCAGGCAGGGCCTCCTAGCTCCCACCCCTCTGTCCCTGCCTGCCCCCACCAGCTCTTCCCCACCCCCCATCTTAGGAAGGGGTTCTGAGCCCTGCTGTCCAGCTGATTTCCTCCCCTCCCTCTACCTACCCCAGCCTTACACACTTGCAGGTTTTCTCCCCAAATCCCCTCACCATCCCAGACTCAGGAGCCTGAAGATTGATTCTGGGCTTGGGGACAGGGGCAGGGCAGGGATTTGGAGGCACACTGCCTGCGAGAGAGAAAGAGAGAAGTCTGGCTCTGCATGGAGACCACCTCCTCTGTAGAATGGGGGCAGCACGAGCCCCCACCGCACAGGGTATCACGGAGGCACTAGGGCAGCGGCAGGCACAGAGCTGAGCGCTGTCCAAGGCCGGGGGCAACCGGGGGCAACCGTTGCATCGGCAGCCGCGCTGTTGGACCAGTGTGGATAGTGAACGGTTGGCCGTGAGGTGTGGGCGGGGAGTCGGACAGACATCGGTTTGAATCCCAGCGCCGCCCCTCACTGTGGGGCCTGGGCCATATCACCTGCTTTCTCTGAGCCGGTTTCGGGCTACAAAAAGGGGACTACCCCATGCTCCGCAAGGCTGCTGGGGGAGGGGAGACCCTGGGTAGACTCTGGGCACAGGCAGGCACTAGCAGACACCTACCCCCCAGGAAGCTTGAGGCCCTGCCTTTGGGGCGCCTCTCTGATTCTCTGCTCTGGCTGCAGGGATGGGGGGAGACTGGTCTCTCCTGCCGGGTGGGGAGGGCAGGCAGGGAGCACCAGGGCTGGGACGGTCCCGTTCCTGCCATCCACAGCATGAAGGCTGTCCAGAGCAGGACGTGGAGCCTACAGCCAGTACGACCAGGAGGAGGGTGTTGGGTACCCTGTGGGGGCTCAGAGGACATGCACAGCGGTGGCCGGTGTGTAAACCACCACTCGTAACGGGCGCACGCATCCGGAGAGCGCTCGCTGCGCGGCAGGCACGGGGCTGAGTATCACCTTTGGCCCTCACCGCAAGGCAGTGATGGAAGGAGCTACGAAACCTCCACTTTCCTGAGGCAGAAACTCAGGCCCAGAGAGGCTTCACGACTTACCCAGGTCACACAGCCCCGAGGGACAAGCCAGACCTGGGACTCAGCAGAGCCAGCACCCCAGCCAGCGCCCCCCACCTTCTCCTCTAGTGTCCAAAGTGAGAGCAGCGGGGGAGAGGTGAAGGGGGACGGGTACTCTGGGCAGAGGGGCCCTCAGGGGTGCCGAGGTGAGCATTCTGAGCAGACACGGCGCGGGGCAGTGACAAGAGTGTGGGGGACTGAGTCTCACCACACCACCTCCCAGCCTGATGACTACTTCGGGCCTCAGTTTAGGGGCCTCTGAAATGGGGCTAATTCCTGCCTTTCTGACCTGCCAAGGTCAAAGCACTTGTACACAGGAATGCATGTACCATCAAAGGCCCTTTTCTAGAGAGACCCTTAGGCCACAGAGCTCTCTGTCCCAGGGCTCTTGGCAGCCCCGCCTCCTGCTGGCTGCAAATGTTTCTGCCACAGTGTGGTCATCTCCAGAACAACCTGTGGACTGGGCATGGTAGCAGGGGGACAGTGGGGGTCCTGGCTTACAGAGGCAGCGGGACAGTAGCTCTAGGTTGGCACTGTCTGCTGCCGCAGGTGAGCCTTGCACAGGCTGGCCCCCTGCTTCCCAGCACTCCCCTAGTTCCCCAGCTCTTCTAGGTCCTGGGGAAATCGGCCTCCCACCAGGCCTGCAGATGGGGGGCGGTGGGGGGCCACACACTCCTGCTAGGCGTTTGGAGTAGAGTGAACTGTCTTGGCTCTCCGTGGGCTCTGGCCACCCCCCCCGCCGCCATGGTCAGAGCTGGGCATGCCTTTCCCCACTTCTGTGTCCTTCCCACCCCCCATTTGAAATCCACTTCCCTAGGCAGACCACACGGCCCCTGAGCAGGTGCCCAGAACGGTAGGCGCTAATCTTCACTGAGCCCCTGCTCTGTGAAGTGCCCTGGGCCAGCCACTCTGCCAGGCGTGCCCCAGGGGATGCAGCAGGAACCCTGGGGGACAAATGCTAGGATCAGTTTCCGTGAAGGGGCTCCGGGAGGTTAAGCGACTTGCCCCAGCCTTCTCTCTTGGCCAATAATCCACAAGACCCCGGGGACGGGCTGATCCCCGGTGCCCTCCGAAGACTGCTATTCTTAGATTGCACAGCAAAGGTGCTAGGAGGGGGACCGGCAAATGAGAGATGTTCTTGCATAACTTACTGTGTTGTCAGGGAGACTCGCATGCAGATGAAATGAATTGAGAAAAAGTGTGGTGTAGCCTGTCGGGCAGGGTGGCTCTGTGTGGGTAGGGGTGAGGCAGGTGCCGGGGCAGCTCTGTGTGCCACTGCCCATGGTGGGGGGTGGGATAGGCGCGGGGGCATCTGAGTCTCTTGGGAAGGGAGCCTGGCTTGGCCTGGAGCTGAATGGCGCCCCCTCCAATGCACACAGGTATGTCCAAAGCCTCCTGGACATCATGGTGTTCCTAGATAAGGACCCGGAGGACCATCGTACACTGAGCCAGTGAGTGAAGGCCCCAGTGGGGGGTCAGGAGGGCAGGGGCAGGCAAAGGGCCCTGGGTCACAGCCCCGAGGCAGAAATGTGCAGGAGGATGGGAGAAATGATCCCTGTCCTCAAGGATATCTAGTCTGAGGGTGAATTAGCCCCTGGCCTCCATGGCCCTGGGTCTGATTAGGGAGATCCAAGCTCCTGCCCCCGAGGGGCTCCCCTGGCCATCGGGCAGGTGGTGGGACACTCAGGGCGGGCTCGGGAAGCAGCAGGGAGGACACTGTGTCTATCAGGTTGGGAGGGGTTCTATGAACAAAGACCGGTGGAGAGGAGGTCAGAAGTGGGGGAGAGTCTGGGGGCGCCCCCAGTTTGGGACTAAGCTGCCATGCCCTGCAGGTTCACGGACGCCCTGGTCACCATCCGGAACCGCCACAACGACGTGGTGCCCACCATGGCACAGGGTGTGCTGGAGTACAAGGACACGTACGGCGATGACCCGGTCTCCAACCAGAATATCCAGTACTTTCTGGATCGCTTCTACCTCAGCCGCATCTCCATCCGCATGCTCATCAACCAGCACAGTGAGCGGGGCCAGGGTGCTCGGGACCGAGTGCGCCTCCCTGGCTTCATGGTGGCCGGAGTGGGGGTGGTGGGTAGGAGGGGAACCCCACCAACAGCTCCCTGCCTTCTTGCCCGCAGCCCTGATTTTTGATGGCAGCACCAACCCAGCCCACCCCAAACACATTGGCAGCATCGACCCAAACTGCAATGTCTCCGAGGTGGTAAAGGGTAAGATGTCCCCACCATGCCGGCTCACAGAGGAGCCCCAGAGACCCCCTCTGGCTGCCTTGCCAGAAGATGTGCTGTTCCCCCGTGGGTAGGGCCTTGTCTGCTTGGGTTTTTTTTTTTTAATGTTGGGGATGCCTTGTACCAGTGCAAGGCAGGAGGACTGCCTGCTGGGTGGACCATCCCGTTCCCTGAATGGCCACTGTCTTCTCTCAGATGCCTACGATATGGCCAAGCTCCTGTGTGACAAGTATTACATGGCCTCGCCTGACTTGGAGATCCAGGAGATCAACAGTGAGTGAGGGAGGCTCTGTGTGTGTGTGTGTGTCTGTGTGTCTGTGTGTGTGTGTGTGTCTGTCTGTCTGTCTAAGGGCTCTGGAGAGAAAGATGAGATGGGGAGTCAGGAAAAGAACGGGGGGAGGGGAGAAAAAAGGAAAAGAACTGGTTGGGACAGAAGCAGAGCTATTATTGACTTATTATTAGCAATATTATTACTAATATATTTGCTAAGTAAACATTATTAAACAGTAAACATGCCACGGAAGGTCACTCTTCTCACGGAGGTCACGTTCTTGATGCTGGGGAGGCTGGGGAAGGGGGCCATTAGCCAGTGAGCGGATAACCCACAAGCTAATCTCAGATGGTGACAAGTGACAGGGAGGAGACAAGATGAGGTCACGTGACAGCGATGGGGAGGAGCAGTGTATTTACTAAGGTGTCGGTTTGGGTGCCTTTTCAGAATCCAGGTGACAGTGGCATAATTAAGAGAGAGGTTTCCCTCTTTGAAGCCCCTAGGGTGGGACAGTGAAAGTCGGCTCCCCACCCTTATGTCTCGGCTCCAGCTGGAGAAGGGGAAGAGGATGGAGAAGGCAGGACCCAGGGGCTGGACAGTCACTCCCCTAGGTCACCTGGCCGGGGAGGCCGGGAGTTCAGTCTCTAGCTGGGCAGCCAGGAGCCCATTAGAACTTTGGGGGAGGGAATATCTGTGACAAGAGGAGGGGAAGAAGGGATACAAGAGGATGGCTATGGGGGTCTTAACTTTGGGTGGGGTGGGTGGTCAGGGACCAGCAGGACCAGGAGGGGGGCTGGGAGATGAGTGGGGAGGGGTTGGAGACAGAGGTGAAGGCATGCAGGGCCCGTGGGCCACAGACAGGAGCTGGGATGTTGTGTGCAGCCGGGAAGCCCATTGAAGGGTTCGAAGCATGGTGATGCCAGCGTCTGATATTTGTTTTAAGATACTTAGAGGTTGGGGGGGGTGAGCAAGATCTCAGGAAGACCAGTTAGGAGGTCACTGCAGTTATCCAGGGGACGGAAAGGCAGCAAAGATGGAAAGAAGGAAGTAGATTTGATAAATATTTTGGAGGTAGAGAGGTTAGGACTTGCTGAGGAACCAGGGTCATAGGGGAAAGGAGGATCAGGGATCTGGAGGTTTCTCTACTCTTCCCCTCCCCCACCTGTTCCTCAGCCACCCTCTGCCTGTGCACCACAAACCTGAGGGCTTTTGTGCCTGGAAGTCACGCTGCCCACATCTTTAAGGCCCAGTTCAAGTCCAGGTCCTCCAAAAAGCCTTCCTGGACTTTCCAGAAAACATGATTAGGCACCCAGCCCCCTGGGGTGTACCTCTGTCACGCACTGCACTGTCTGAATCACTTGGAGGCATGGGGCACCCTCGTGGCTCAGTCCGTTGGGCATTTGCCTTCGGCTTGGGTCATGATCCCAGGATCCCGGGATGGAACTCCACATCAGGCTCCCTGCTTAGTGGGGGCAGGTTGGGGAGGGGGTCTGCTACTCCCTTTCCCCCCGTTTTTGCTGTCTCTCTCTCTGTTAAATAAATAAAATCTCTTAAAATAAGTGAATAAAATAAATGAAACTTGGGAGCAGAGATGGAAGGACAGAGACAGGCTACGTTCCTCCAGTATCCCTAGGGTCAAGCGCAGGGCCTGGCACATAGCTCTGGGTACAACACCCAACGTTAAAGTCACTCGTGCCTTTGTCTAGACTTGAATTTCCGAGAGCGTAGGGCTGAATTTTATTCATCTTTATGCCCCACTGCCCAGCATGGGGCCCGAGATTCCTTCGTTCGCTAATCCATGCCCAGTCATTGAGTTCCTGCTGCAAACAGAGCTCTGTGCCAGGCACCAGGAGAAGACCCGCAGCCCCTCACACAAGAAGCTCTCGAGGCTAGAGCGATTCTAGAGGCAGAGTGCTGGAGACAGAACTGTGTGCGGCAGCCCTCCCCTCTCCCCACTGGATTAAAAAGCTCTCCAGGGCCTCTGGGGTCCAGGTGAATGCTAGTAGACTGGATATAGGCTGGATAGATACTTTTTGAATGGATGAAGGGGCTAGATGAACAGTGGGTGAGTGGAAGGCTGAATCTGGACTCCGAATTCATGGGTAGATGGGATGGATGGATGTTGGGACAGATGCGTAGTTGAAGGACAGTCGGATGGTTGAATGGACACTGGAAGGGTAGCTAGAGGAATTAGTGAATGTTGCACGGATACAATGGTTGGATGGATGGACGAATGGGTGGATGGACAGACACCGTGTGATGGATGGATACTGTATGGATAGACAGGTGGGTGAACAAATGCTAGAGGATAAATGGGTGATTGGTTGAGTGCTGGGTGCTAGGTGCTGCGTCAGTGAATGCTGAATGGTGACCTCTTGACAATTTACTGATCCTTGGTCTTGACTTCCCCAGCAGCGTCCAACTCTGAACAGCCAATTCACATGGTCTATGTCCCATCTCACCTCTACCACATGCTTTTTGAACTCTTCAAGGTAAGGGGGCGGGGATGGTTCTCTGCAGCCTTGGGGGATGGTTAGGGCTAGGCCACTCTCACTCATCTCTTCTGCCTCTCCCTTCACAGAATGCCATGCGTGCCACTGTGGAAAGCCACGAGTCCAGCCTTGTCCTCCCACCTATCAAGGTCATGGTGGCCTTGGGTGAGGAAGATCTGTCCATCAAAGTATGTGGCCCTTGATTTGGGGGCCGGAGAGCACTGGGATGGGGACTTGCGCCCCTGCCAGGAGATGGGCTCAGAGGAGACCCTGGGGATGGGGACGACCAAGAGGTCAGGGGTGTCGGGGCGGGGCGTGAGCACTGAAGCCATGTCCGTCTCCCCCAGATGAGTGACCGAGGTGGGGGAGTCCCCCTGCGGAAGATTGAGCGACTCTTTAGCTACATGTACTCCACGGCACCCACCCCCCAGCCCGGCACCGGAGGGACCCCACTGGTGAGATGGTTTCCCTCCAGTGCCCCCTGCCTCCTAAGGCCTCTTGTCTTTTCTCCTCTTCTCATCAAACTGTCACTCTCCCCGTCTCTTACCTCCTCACCTCCCATGGTCTTTGTTCTTGTGTAGCTGTATGAGCATCGGTCACCTCTCCCAGTCTGGGCCCCCTGCTCCTCCCACTCCCCCCATCTGAGCTGCGGGTTTCTATCTGTCTCTCCTCATTTCTCCCAGTGGCACCCCACAGAGTTCAGTCATCAGCAGCTCTGTCATTCCCAGTAGAGCAGGTGGGGCTGGGTTTGGGAACTTGAGACCCAGGAGCCCTGAGACCTGTCCACACCCGCTGGCTCCCAGGGCTGAGTTCCTCCGCTATCCCCGTTGACTACCACCCGCGGCTGGGACTGCTCAGCCTTTCTGGCTCCACCAGACTGACTACCCCGACCCCTGAGGAATTCTGGGAATCCTCAGGCCCGACCCCAACTCAGCACATTGGTCCTTTTGCTCCGGGAGGCCCAGATCCGCCTCCTGGTCACTCTCCCTTCCCGCCCCCTTGTAGGCTGGCTTCGGGTACGGGCTCCCCATCTCCCGCCTCTATGCCAAGTACTTCCAGGGAGACCTGCAGCTCTTCTCCATGGAGGGCTTTGGGACCGACGCGGTCATCTATCTCAAGGTGAGGGTCCTGGTGCGGGGGCCAGCCTGCGGGCTGTGCTGGCAGGCCACCTGCTGCTAGGTTCCATCTCCACCCCTCCACTCCTTCCAGACTGAGAATCAGAGCAAAGCTACAGTTCCCAGCCTGCAGACATCCCCACCTCGGCAGGCAGTTTAAGGAAGTCCTTGGTCCATGATTAGGACCCCTGTTTTGGGGACCTTTGACTTCTTATATGCAGAAGGAAGGGGGGCTGCCATAGAGAACTTGTCATTCAGCTCAGGACCAGACTGAGACCCAGAGTTCGTGACCTTCTTCAAGGTCACAGTCCACCTTACCTCTGCCTCCCTGACTCTTTGAGTGAGTAGTCTTCTGGAATGGGCAGGAGCAAGGCACAGAAGGGACAGGTCCTTTCCTGGGTCTTTCTGGGCCAGGGTTCGTTGTCTCAGCCAGTGTCTGGCACCTAACTGGGCTGATTCAGACACGGGGCAGGTCATGGTCTGACACCCCCACAATCCACCCCAGGGAAAAGGTGATTGACCAAGACATGGGTGAGGCACTGGGAAAGGGGATGGGCTGACCCCGGTGCTCTCCAGGCCCTGTCCACGGACTCAGTGGAACGCCTGCCCGTCTACAACAAGTCAGCCTGGCGCCACTACCAGACCATCCAGGAGGCCGGCGACTGGTGTGTGCCCAGCACAGAGCCGAAGAACACGTCCACGTACCGGGTCAGCTAAGGGCTGCCCTGCTCCCCTGCACCTGAGAGGACGGACTGTTGTCTCTGGGATTGGCCACCACGGTGACCCTCCTTTCCCCCCACCAGGTGGGGGGAGGGCTCTCCCTAATGACCAGCTTCTGTCTCTGTGGAAGTCACTGCGGTGACCAGTCTGTGGTCTAAGTGCCAATCTCCATCTCCACGGAGACCCCTCGGTGGTCTCCCTGGTGTTTGGTCTCTGTGGGCGGTGCCTAAGGATGGGGGGACGTCTCCATCATGATGTGGGGGGGTGTCCTAGAGTCATGTTTCCATGACAGTGCTCCTTCTGAGACCAGAGCTGCCACTTTTCTTCCAGGGGTCCTGGGTCCCCCTCACTGCCGTCCACAGCCCTGGCCTTCCAAGCGGACACCCTGCTTGCCTTATCCCCCACCCCGGCCCATGCGGGGACTCCAGCCCTGGCCCAGGGTCAGCGCTAGCCAGGGGCCAGTGTCCCTGGGTAGAGAAAGGGGTTGCCCCCTCGGGCCCCTGTTTGGGGACGTGGTCCTGCAGCCTCTCCCTCTACCCTAGGCTTGAAGGTGAAGGTTAGGAGGGGACAGTTCTCACCCAGAGCACACCCTTAAAGTGGAGGACCTGGGGAGGACCCAGAGATCAGCTGTTTAGCCAAACTGCTCAGAGCCCCTCAGGCGCCTCCCGAGCCCCTCCCTGGCATGTCCTCAGCCGTACACGGCCCCTTGCCCACCCCACACAGTCCCGCCTGAGCTCCAGACCCCCGCTCCCACCGTGCCTGGACATGCACGTGCTTGGGGTGGCTTTCTCCCTAGAATGCTCTATGTACATAGTTAGTTTTGTAGCTCCGAAAAGTCCCCACCCTTCCCCTTAGCACACGGGGGTTAAAGTGGTGTGCTCCTCCCAGTGGCTGTGACGATGACCGTGACATCTGCAGTAAAGAGGAGATTGAATGAGACCGTGGCCCAGCTGCTTTCCTGGGGTGGGAGGGGGAGGGGAGAGAGCCGCAGGCACAGAGGCACGCAGACCAGACCGCAGACCCTGTGACTGCCATATGACGCACTTGGGATACCCAGCCCAGGGCATGACTCAGTGCGTCCCACGAGCACACCGCCAGGCAGAGCCATCCCTTCAGGACACCTGACACGGCAGCCCCAGGGGGCAGATGTGTCACCCCTCCACGCTCAGGGCCCGGCGCTGCCTCCCGCCCCAGCCCAGCTTCCCAGCGGGGGCAGACAAAAGTCACTGGCACATGGTAAGTGTTTATTGAAATAAATGGAGTACCACCCTCCTTCACATGCAGGTGGGTGCCCATACAGCTCCTGATCGTTTCAAAGGCCTGGGTGCTTTCCGCCCTCCCCACCAGCCTCTCCAGCAGACCCTGATGGTGCCGGTTCCCCCATAGCTCAGTTTCCTGTGTGGATCCTCTCCCCATACAGATGGCAGAGAGAATTAAAGGGCTGAGTCCCAGGGACCAGACCGTGGCCAGAGCAGGGATGGCCTTGGAGCCACAACCCCAGAGCAGGAACGAGGAGAGGTGGCACGCACTGGGTCCTGTCCACCGCTCCGGGCAGGTGAAGGGGGAGGTGGACTCCTAACCAGAGGGCCCCCAGCCCCGCTGGTCACTGGCCAGTCCTGCAGGAGCTGCTGGCCAGTGCTGTACCTGAATGTTTCCTCCTCACAGGATAGATCCCAGCCCCACCCAGGGGCCTGGCCCAACCCTTCGTCATGGCCCAGAGAACCAGAGCCTGCACAGCGTGCCAGTTTTGGAACCCACTGAGACCCTGACAGGGACCAGAACAGATGGGGGAAGGCTGATGAACCCTTCCAGTAGATTGCAGGGGAACTCCTACTAGAGTTTGCCTCTCTACCTGGCTGGGGTGAGGGCTCACCTGTTCAGTGTGACCTAAGCATTGGTTAGGGGTGTTAGGGGTTCCTCTGTCACACATACCCCCAGCTCCCAAGTTGGCTCTGTCCCCAGAGAGGGCTCAGCCGTTCTTTGAGGGAGCAATAGAAGTGGGCCCTGTGTCAGGGAGTAGGTCAAAGACCAGGCCTTGAGTGGGCCCCAGGAGGGGCAGACCTGTATGGATGTCATCTCACCACTGGGACCCACAGGACCAGGAAGGGGAAAGAGAAGGACGTTTTCATCGTCCCTTCCTGCTCCCAAAGTCCTGGCCAAGGTTGTGTGGGCTACCCTTGCTGCTCTCTGTGCTCTCCCGCCATGTGGAGGCTGGGAGTCTACCCTGAGTGCGGGCTGCCGCAGCACCTACCAGCCTCCCCTGGGAGCAGAAGAGAGCTCTTCCAGCACGCAGCCACCTTGGAGGGCTGGAGAGGAGTGACTGTCCACTCGCTCCTGCTGAGAGGTTTCCTGCCTCTCTGAGTCCTGGGACCTAGGCCTTATCTCAGAGCCTCTAGAAGGCAGACAGGCCAGCTGGCAGGCAGGTGCCCTAGCTCACGGCCGGCCAGCATGGCCATGACCTGAGGGTAGATGATCAGACTGACCCATGTGCCTCAGGGTTCCCCGACTTGCATCAGCCCTGGCCTCTCTGTCCTCTGCCCATAACCTGCCATCTCCCCTAGGAACTCTGTGCCAAACAAGTCCTTAAAACTGGATTTATTACTGGGCCCTCTCCTGGGGTCTCCCTTTCTGGGGGATCTGGGTCCAGACAGTGACAGGGTGAGAGAGGGCGTGTACCCCCTGAGAGTGTGGGGCCCGGCCAGCCCAAGCTTGGCGCCCAGGCCCCGCCTCCCCGCTGAGGCCTGTGCCCACCGAGCCCGGCGGCCACCAGCGCCTGGGTGCCAGTGCCTGCCCCCCGCCCTCCCCTAGCTCTTCTTGGCCTCCTGCTCCCGGCGCCGGAGCTTCTCCCGCTGCCGTGCAGCCTTCTCCCGGGCCTTGCGCTCCTTCTCAGCGGCGGCTGCCAGCTCCTTTACCTTCCGCTTCACTAGCGTCCGGTCATGCGAGTTGCTGAGCCCCAGGCTCTGGGGAGGAATTCAAGGGTGAGGGAAAGATCCCCAGAATCCCTCAGGCCCTGGCCAACTCTGGCCCCCAGTTTGCGGTGCCCCAGGTGGGTGTACTCTGCCTGGAGCTCAGTAGGTCCTCCCAGAAGTGTGGCCTCTGCCTCCCAGACAGGCCCGTGGGTCAGAACCAGGGCAGGAATTCCGAAGGGGAGCGTTTCGGAAAGAGGATGATGGAGGGTACCAGACCTTTTGCCCCCTGCCCCGACCCCTGGCAATCCTCGGCTCCCATTCCTCCACTCGGGAGTTCAGTCTTGGCACCATCCTGCCCAGCCCCCAGAGGCCCACAGATGGGGAATGACTTGCCCAGTGTCACACTGCTAGTCAGTGGCCGAGGCCCCTCCCTACTGCAGAGACTCCCTGGGGGCCTCTCCTCACCACCTCTTGCCTAAGCAATGTAGCAGAGGGTGGGCAACAGGCTAGAAACCTCTCAGTGCAGAGATCTGAGCCCACCCCCCCTCCCCGACCTCCCCTGACTACCAGCAGCCTCCAAGACTGAGAATCAGGCAAGGTGATCGGGCAGAGGCCTGCTTTCTTATGACAGCAAGGGACTCAGAGTCAAGAGTCAGGTAATCTGACTCTTGACGGTCCTAGAGGTCAATGTTAACCTGGAGCCTTGAGCTGGGGCTTGAAGGTCAAACTGAAGGACGGGGCTGGAGTTTCAAGTCCGACAGCGGACCCGTGCTAGAGTACAAAGATCAGGCCAAGGACCTTGCCCAGGTCAGAGGTCAGGGCAGTGGCCTTAGAGGCGATGAAAGATCGGGGTTTGGGGGGGATCCCAATCCTGGAAGTTTGCCTTGGGCTCCAGCTGGGTCACCGCTCTCCTCCCCTGACACACCTTCAGTTTGCTTCCATCCAGCTGCAGGAGCTGGGGCCCGTCCACCTGCCGCGCAGCAAACTCGGCGACATACTGCTCCAGGTTGAGGCTGTGCAGCCATTGGCCCACCTGCTGGCTGGTCCAGTGGTGGACCGTGGGGAGAGGTTCGTCCAGGAACTGGGGTAGAGACCAAGGATGGTGAGGGGGAAGACCTGGCCCGTGACCTGCACCCCAACACTCAGAGCCCAGGGCTTGCTTACCTCATCCGAAGACTGGGACAGTGTGTGGTAGGGGTAGGAGCACTTGGTCTCCTGCCGGGGACCACTGGGGATCTTGGGGCTGCTGCTAGGGGGCGTGGAGTCATCACTCAGGGTGGATTCCTAGAGAGGAAGGGAATGAGCTGCTGAGGAAACAGCTCGCCCTCAAGCCCAAGGGAGTCCCCCAACCCACTGCTTGCATTTGGATGGAGCTAAGTTGGGGGCTGGGCACCAGGAGTTGCTCAGTGCCTCCTAGTCTCTGAAGCACTCACGGGAAGCATCAGGATGTAAGACCTGTCAGAGGTCGTGGGGCCAGAAATGAGGCAGAATAGTTAGCAGGAATGGCAGAAGTCTCAGACCAGGTGTCGCTTCCTGCAGGCAGCCGACCAGGATTCCCCCAGGCTAGGTCGGGGGTCCTCCCTTTGTGCCTCCCCATCATAGCCCCTAGCACCCTGGCTTCTAAGTGCCTGGGTAGAGATCAGAAGCTCTATGAAGCCCTGGGCTGTCCGTTTATCCTGCTATCCCAAGGCCCAGCACGAGGCAAGGACGAGACGGAGGGCGACTGTGCAGATAAGAAATCAGGAAGTCTCAAGTTAGACGGAACTCTTTCTCCCCTGAATTCCCAGCTTTCTGATCTCCTCAGCCCCAGTAGCACATAAGGAACAACCACAGAACAGGCATGGAGCCCGCATCGAACCCACATGGCAAGTCCCTTCTCTCTGGGCCATCAGTCGTTCATCCGGACAACTGGGATAAGCACGCCTGCGCTTTGTGAAAGGAAAGCCAAAGCAGCCCTTGGAGCCTTGTCTAGAGTAGAGCGTGGCATGAGCAGAAGCAGACACTTGTGGCTGCTTCTGTCCCTGACTTCTCCCTGCTTCCTGAGCACTAGCTAGTTTGGGTCCCCTTCATCCCGATTTCCTCCAAGCCTCACCCCACCACACAGGTTGCCCGGCGACTGGGACATCTGGGATGACTGGGAGGACTGGGACGACTGGGATGGGACGTGGGGAGCCAGGCAGAAGAGCGCAAATGGGGGTGGCCTCAGGCTGGGTGGCTAACGAGGGAAGCCTGGTGCTCAGTGGGTTGAATATGGTGAATGACTCAGGGGAGGAACTACTCAGAATGTGAATGAGTGAAGAAACCAATGAATGAACTCAGAGAATGGATGAACTAGTGAATCACAGAATGGCTCCATGGATAGACAAACTGGATAGACAAACAGATAGACAAACGGACCCCAGGAATGCCTGGATCCCAGCCCCACCCCCTCACATCACCTGAGTCTGGGGCCCATATGGGGGGCAGGGAAGCCATGGACTCACCTGAGAAGCTGACTTCTTAGGGCTGAAGCCCTCATGTTTAGGGGAGCAGGTGGGCGAGGTGGTGCTGCCAGAGGATGCCGAGCCCTTGCCGCTGTCTGTGAACCAGGAAAAGGGCAGGAACGGGGAGCCCCCTGACCTGCTGGACCCCTCCACTGATTCCCTGTGGAGAGAGCACCCAGCATGGGTGTGGGCACCGTGGGGTGGGCGCCCCACCCCCCCCGGAACTATGAGCGGAAGCTTACCTGCTGCCCATGGACAAGCGGTTGCTGCCCTTGTCCTTCCGGCTCTTGCTAGTGGATGCTCGGCGTAAGGTGACCCTGTGAGGGAGGGTGGGGGGGAGTGGGGCAGTGCTGCCCGCTGTGCTACCCTGCACCCCAAGGCTCCAAGCCTTTGCTTCTGGCCCCTCCTCCACTCACCCCAGGTCCAGGAACTTTCGGCGAGTCTTCTTATCCAGACCGATGGTGGGGCTGGCAGGCTCAGGTGGGCTGGCATCCCGGCTATCATCTTTTGGGGAAGAGAGGGAAGAAAATAGCCTGTGGAG